CGTCCCCCCCCCCCCCCCCCCCCCACTCTCTCTCCCTCTTTCCCAAGGTAGGGAAACAAACGAAAAAAACACCAATTTCTAACATGTATTAATACTAGATTCTTCTTCTCCTATTTCTTCATCTTCTTTTGTTCTCCTCCTCCTCCCCCCCTCCTTCTTCATTTCCTCCTCCTCCTCATTTTTTCTTCTTCTTCTTCTTTCATGAGCACTCAACCCGCTGTGAGAAGACGGTCAAAGGCGCGACACCGAAACCGTGTAGTCGCATGTGTCTAGATCTAGTCTAGATTTCTAAATCTAGATCTAGCCTAACCAGTAAGATTACACCTTGCACAAACTACAGTCAAACCTGCCCTGACGGCCACCTCTACAAATGGCCACTATCCATTTCCCCCCTTGCGCTTTTTTCTTTATAATTTAACTGTGTAAAACGTGCACCTGTCCAACGCGGCCGCGGCCACCATATTTTAACACACAACCGCATTCACACAAAGCAATAACACCTGTCTTAGACAGCCACCTTAGTGACTCCATTACGTTTTGATTGTCATAAGTTGCGCATTAGCCCCTGGCGTTGTGGGCGAGCCATCATATTCAATCACCTGTTGGCCCCTCTCACTGTTGACAAATGGTAACCAATTTTCGGCACTCCTGTACAATTGCGGTCTCGTTTGGGGATACTTCTGGTTCTAAATGATTACTTTTTGATGCGCGTGCCGATATGGAGAGATAGCCATAGAAAGCCTCTATATTATAGATCTAACCTAATTGCAAAACATCAAATTATCACCAACCACCCTGAAACCCCCCCCATGGTTGTTTTTTTAGGGTAGAGGGGGCAAGCTTCCCTGAAACCCCGCTTGCCTTGTTAAAAACAAGTGAAATTTTGCTGCGCATTTTGTAGGCTAGATCTACAGATAAAATATAAAACTTATTAAAACATTGATACCGACAATGATGATTCCAAAGATCTTTCACTTTTATTTTTTCTCACACAAGTAGGGTAACTCTGTTCGCTAAGGGTGCACATTTGTGAAGAGGGCGCCACCGAATTTTGAGGACACTTTTTTAATTGGCTCAAAGAGAGGAGTGGACCATCTTGTTATGTGATCATTGATGATACCAAAGAGTCTACACAAGTCTTCCTCGTCTGATACATTTCGTTTTATTATCACCCTTATGCAAAATCAGCAACAAAATAAAAATTACAAACAAAATACAAACCAACAACAACAACAACGGTAAGATTGTACTTTACCGGACCAACGGTAGCTGCTGGTCGGGACTATTTTCGCTATGGCACCCCTTGGGCCTGTTGCCCGGTGGTCTGGTATTCTTCCTTCCGTGGCTCCCCTACTCACTTTCCTACGTCTTCACCCTCCGACTGGTAACTGCCGACTGATATCTGTTACCGGGTTTTTCAGCCATCACGGCCGTGACCTTTGACCCACGACGCTAATTGGTCAATCTAATCATGTGGTCCACTATTCTTCTCTTGCACGCGACTGCTAGGCGTACCCCCCCCCCCAACACACACCGTGGTCCGGCAAAGTACAAACAATGGAGGGCGAGAGATGCGTGCGAGCTAAGTACCCCCCCCATCCCCAAAGTGGTCCGGCCAAGTACAATGGAAAGCGAGAGATGCGCACGAGCGCTCATTTTCATAATAGCAACCCCCCGCCAGCTCGACTCTGCACGTGCTGCGAAGCAAGGCACGAGAGCTAATTTGCATAATAATTGGCACCACTGTTCCGGGTTTAATTACCCCGACTGTCCACTTTGTGCCATTATTGAATTGTTCTTTGTGATGCTTACATGATGTATTCGCTATGGCTGACCCCGAGAATTTGACTGTTTTTTCCTTAGCCAGATTAAAATTCCTGATCGTTCGGTTTTTGTTCAGTGGTTGTTTGACAACAATTTGTTAATTGATTATTTGGATGTTTTAACTGAGTGTGGTGGTTCTTTAGCTTTTGTGAAAGATTGTACTTTCTGCCGACGGACATTGTTGGAGGTGCGTTTCCCGTAGGGGCAGGAGAAAATTTTCAATTCGTTTTGGGAGCTGGTTCAGCTACTTGCATTTGTCGTTGGAGACTTATTTCTGGTCAGGAGCTTATTCAAACAAACAGTGTAGTTTAGAGTGTGGTGTAGGCGAGAAAAGTGTAGTGGACTGGTTTAATTTTTGTAGAGACGTTTGTGTAGACATTTTTGACAGTGAGGATAGGTTTAGTCAGATAGGTGGTGAAGGTGTTGTGGTAGAAATAGACGAGAGCAAGTTTGGGAAGAGGAAATTTCATAGAGGCAAGCTCGTAGATGGAGTTTGGGTTTTTGGGGTATAGAGAGACAATAGAGAGAATGTTTTTTTGTAGTGGTAGACGATAGGTCAGCAGGCACTTTAGTCCCAATAATAGAAAAAAGTATATTAGGAAAGGTTCAATATAATAGTTTCAGATTGTTGGAAAGCATACGATAGGCTAGGAGACTGTGGTTATACCCATCAAAAGGTTAACCACAGCAAACATTGTAAGGACCCTGAGACTGGTGCTCACACCAACAACATCGAGAGAATGTGGCAGTTTGAAGAGGAGCAAGGGCACCTACTATGCCAAAATTCTGATAGCCAGTTATTTCGCGGAATTCATCTTCCGTAGGACGTTTGCTGGGACCAGGCTCCTTTCAGAGCATTTATTTACTGCCTCCATTAGTGAGGTCTACACCAAGGAAAAGGCAGTAACTGCGCTGCGTCAGAAGTGGGCCGCAAACTTTAAACAGCCGGCCCAGTCCAGAACCTCAACGGCTAAAACCTTTAAAAAAAGTCAAAGTGTGCGCGCCCCCCCCGCCGACAAAGAAAACCAGCTCCTGGCTACCGAACCGAGCCCCCTGTTGTCGTAACACCAACAATTGTAGTCGACGAGGAGACTACTTGATAAGGGATCCCAAGATGCGGTCAGTCTTGGCGAGAGATGCGCACGAGCACTCATTTGCATAAATAAAAAGCTCAATGGGCCCTGCACGCGCGCTTATTGTAGATTTATTAAAAGATTATATGCCAGGAGGGGGCAAGCCCACCTGAAACCTCCCTCTCTTGACATGATATAATCTAATAATATATGTAAACACACGGTGGGTCCGCAACAGTGTAATCCCCCCTCCACAACAAGCAGCTCTGGCTCGCTCACCCGCCTGGTCGCTGGCTGGCGCACTACGTACAGTCTCCCGTGGCACTAGATCCAGATCTACTTCTTATCCGCGCGTTAAAGCTGGATCCTGCTTGTCAAATCTGAGAGTGGCGATTCGCAATTCAGTCGGCTTCAATGAATCGTGAGTACGCGAGCGCTCGTGGAACACTACGTCTCGGGCTCGTCGTGAAATGGAACAGTTTCATTATATCAGTGACCCCCATAAAT